TTTGATGTCATAGCCCTTCGAATCGATTTTCGCCGTCCTAGATCTCCCTGCGCTTACGTAGGCTTCTGTACGAAGTTCAGTAAAGACTGTGATCGTTGTAATTAGCCCCGCGGGCGTTTGTATTTACCGCGGAAGATTTTCTTCTGGGCGCATGTGCGATTTTGTTTCAGTCAATCCCAGCGTAATTGCTCTAAGTCCTTTGTACTTAGCTTATGGGTGTTACGGGAAATTTACTGATTTTTCCCGTGTGTGTTATTCGGAACATATTTATTCGTAAACTTTCACATTTAACCATTTCGAGTCCTTTCATTTTAATAAATCAAAGAATGCATAAAAAAACCACAGTAGCTTTTGAATAGATTTTTGTTGTTACTCGCTTTCATCACATGCACCTGGTTGTCGGTACTTTTGTTATTTATTACATGGTTTTTTTAGGTAAATATAAGTATTAATGCTCTTTCTGGAAACATTGGTTCATAATAGATAGCAGCTGAGTTTATACGCGTTAACTTAATTTCTTTTCATGCAATGGTTTCCAAACCAATCTTGCATAGATAAGCAGAAGCTTTTGATTGCTTTTTCCGTTTTTATTTCCTGAGCTGCGCTACTGCAATTAAGATAGGTATTGTTTTCTATATCAGAGCTGTAAATTCGCACCTAGGTTTCCTACTTTAATGGCCTAGAGTTTATTGCATCCCTCTTTTTAATTTTGAGATTCTATCCGTCGTAGAAACAGATGGAATATTTAAGTAGTTTTCGTTTAACTTCAAAGAGACTTTTTTCCGCTCCTTTGTGTCCTTATTCAAATATTACGATTTGTGTAACAATAGCACCTCACACCAGTTAGTTCTTAAGCAAGTACCTTGTACAGTTTTGATGATTACAAACTAGAGTATGCTAGAGGTCATGTCGCTGGCCTGACCTAGAATAAAAGTACTGTGGAACCAAAGATTGTCTTATCCTTGACGTCCGTATAAGCTCGCTCGAAGCAGATCTCCGTGTACCAGGAAATCGTGACGAGTTTCCGTTCTCGCTGCCAAGTCGTCTTTACAGAGTTATTTCCCCCAGTTATTGTGCCGTCCGCGAAGATTCAGTCCTCCAGTTTTGGGCGAGAAAAACCTATCGTCACATGGGTAGTTTGGCATTTACTCAGACCTGGAGTGACTTTAGTCATGGTATTGCTCGTCAATATCGCGTTATGACACGAGTTTGTGTCAAGAATTTATTCAGCATTGTTTGTAATTAAAGGAACCCATTTGTGGTCCACTTTGCAGATTCTAGTTGTCTATGTATTCTATATTGGAGTTTGATTATTCCCGGTTATCCTGCTTTTATCTATCTATTTATTTAGTTATTTCTTGTCGAATTGTACTCCTCACTTTGCCTTATTTATCTCCCGTTTAGATATTTTTCTTTCTGGATTTTGGGCATTCCGGGACGGACCGCTTGACGACTCGCTTGAGGGACTGAAAGATCGACTGAAGACAACTGTACTCTCTTCTAAAGCAAATAGGACTGTTATGGTATACAACCGGGCTTTCCGTAGATGGAAGCAGTTTGCAAACGATAAGTTAAACGGGAAAGCCTTTCCCGCTAGCCCTTTTCATGTGGCTTTGTATTTACAACATCTTATAGAGGAAACTAGCGTGGTCGATTCTGCTTTCTATGGCTTAAAATGGGCCCATGACGTGGCAGGAATCCTCTCCCCAACTGATGATCCAATTGTTGAAGCTGTGAGGACGGCGTCCAAAAGGGTTCTTGGTACCAGTGTCCTTAGTCGTAAAGAACCTATTTCGGCCACTTTAATCCACGATATTATTAATAAATCAGACCTAGGCAACCCTGTAGAGTTTCGAAATGTTACCATGTATTTTTTATCTTTTGCCGGTTTCTTTAGGTTTGACGTTGTGTCTAGAATTAGAAGAAGTGATATTTCCTTTAGAGCAGGCTTTATGGTTGTTAAGGTTTTGAAAAGCAAGAACGACCAGCTCCGTAAAGGTGACGAAGTCGTTATCTCCCAATTGTCTAGTTCTGCATGCCCTGTTGAGTTGCTTAAGAGGTATTTAGCTATGTTTAAGATACCCCCTGACTCCAAAGATTTTATTTTCAAGCCCATTTCTAAAGGGAAGGGCTTTTGTAAGCTTGTTGCCCCTGATAAGCCAATTAGTTACTCTACCATTAGAGGGGCTTCTCGCCGGGACCTGCTAAGTCTCGGAGTTGAACCATCCAAGTTTGGTTTGCATTCCCTACGTTTTGGAGGAGCCACTATGGCAGCGAATAATGGAGTAAACGACAGGGTTTTCCAACGACATGGTCGTTGGAAATCGGTACAAGCTAAAGACACATACGTAGACGATAACCTTGAACAACGACTCGAAGTATCGCGTTTTCTTGGGCTCTGAGGGCGTTTTCGTGTTCTTTTTAGTGGTATAAGATCACCTAACCTAGTGCGTCTTGCCCAATTCTTTGTCAGTCTATATGTGCCTCGGGTTGGTTCTCGGCAGGCTTCCCTAAATAAACTTATTTGGTGTACACTACTGTGTTTTTTGTTGTGTAGTGGAGACTAAATCATATATATATATATATATATATATATATATATATATCCATAGCTTTTCATGCAACTGAAAAAATGAAATCGTTTACCCCTAGGCCTCTTAATGTATCATGCAATGAATATTTAAAATATTTATATATATTTATATATATATATATATATATATATATATATATATATATATATATTTAATTTTACCATACTATGCCTCATTGTCCTTTATCCACGTCCTTTGCCTTTATTTACCTTTATTTACCTTCATCTACCCTTATCTACCTTAATTGTCTTCATCTCACTTCATCTACCATGTTATTATCTCATTTACCTTTATATCCTCCGTTGTTCTTCCTTGTCCTTCATCTATCTTCTTTTGGCCTCATCTACCTTCATCAACCTAAAATTACAATCATTGATCTTCATCTATCTTCCTCTGCTTTCATCTACCTTCACCTACCGTTCTTTACTTTCAGACCTTCATTTGCCTTTGTATGTCTGTCTTTATATACCCTGATCTATCTTCCTTCTCCTTTTATTTCCTTCATTGTCCTTTAGCTACTTTCATTCATCCTCATCCTCCTTCAGCTTATATCTTCATCTACCTACATTCATTTTCATCTGCCATCACTCACCTTCAGATAACTTCATCTTCCTTCAGCTACCTTCATCTACCTTATCTATCATTTTATATCTTCATTCACCTTCATTTATCTTCATCTACCTTTATTTACCTTCTTCTAACTTTATCTAACTTCAAATGAATTAACCCTCAACTTCCTTCATTTACTTTCATCTCCTAAATATACCATCATTTACCTTCATCGGCCCTATTCTACCTTCAAGCACCTTCATCTAATTTCATTTTCCTGAATGTACAAGACTTTGCGTTTATTTAACTTTATCTACCATCATCTACCCTTATCTACCCTAATTTCCGTTCACTTACCTTATTCTCCACTCATCTACCGTCATTCACCTTCAACCATCTTCATCTCCCTTTTTCTATCATCTTTTACTTTCATCTTTTATCATCCATGAAAAACCTTTCAAGAAAGTGCAGATTTTGACAGTTGTCCCTTAAAACGCTAAAAATCACCTTTCTGATCATCTAAGTTTCAACATGGGGAACATGTTATCTATTTACCCCTCCAAGGACTTTATTTATTTAGCGAATATTAATCTGACCCCCCTTACTAATCCTCGATCGGCGCGAAGCAGTGAATTCACACCATGTAATAAGATTTCTATTCTTCAGGTTCTGCTTTACTCTTTCTGACACTCTCTGTGACTTATCAAATTCTACAATCAACGCGGGCGTTCCCAATAGATTGCCAAAACAACACTGCAGTCTGTTTGGAAAAAAATAATGAAGGAAGTCGCCCAAGTTCGATTTGAGGTTAAGGAGAACAAAACATTGGCGAGATGTAAGCACGATTCCTCTTCGTTCATGTGTGTTACTACCTTTTTTAAAATTTATTAATTTCTATTTTTATTATTATATTTCAAGAGAATACAAACTGTTACTCCCTTGTATTTCATCAACAGCTAAGAACTGTGTTGAGCCCTTCTATTCCGGTCAAAGGATCAGCGGTGTTTACACAATCGACCCAGATGGCCAGGCGCCTTTAATGTCTACTGTGTCCAATCTACTTCCGGTGGGGGATGGACAGTCTTTCAGAAGAGAATGGATGGCTCCGTTGATTTTAACCGCACCTGGATTGACTACAAATATGGCTTCGGTAACTTGCTCGGTGAATTTTGGCTTGGACTGGACAAAATAAACCGTCTGACACAAAACAAAACAAAGAACATGCTTCGAATAGATCTGGGGGTAACTGCGCGCCAAACTGTTCACGCTGAGTATGAATGGTTTGGGATTGGGAACGCGACGGCTGACTACCGCCTGTACATTGGCAATGTGACAGGTAAGTAAACCGTCCTTTTAAACATTCATTGTTCGCTTTTTATGTGTTACTTCCCTATCGACGTCTACTGCCCCATTCACACCAAAGCTTAAGAGCTGTTTTGCCAAAAACGATTTAAATTTGTTTCTTCAGAAAGGCTACTTAAGCTAATGTTTATCCACTTCAAACTTAGCAAATTAACTTAACTTAATTCAATCCCTTCTCCCAACTCCACGTAATCTACAAAGTATGGTTCGTTTTAGTGCATGCCCGTTTGACCGTGTTTTGCTGTTAATTCTGCCTATACCTAGTTGAGTCCGCGCTCCTCCTTGGATAGTTTTCTTAAGCTGCTTGAGATAGAAAATTCATTAAACTCGGCTTTACCAAAATCATAAAATTTGAGTATTTATTATTTTGCCAAATATTTTTGTATTTGGATATCTGCCCTACTTCGTCGATTGGCGTAGCTATCGAGTTTGAGGTGTTATCGTAATCCTAATATTATGGAATTTTGGTATTTATTATTATTATTGTTTAAACAGATGCAACTGCTTCCTTTGATTCCCTCAATCCTCACAAAGATCTCATTTTTGGTACCTGGGATAGAGATCCTGCCCATTGTGCTCAAAAAAGAGGCGGAGGCTGGTGGTATGGCAACAGTAGTGCTTGTGCTGTTTGGTCGAATCTCAACGGAATTTATCCGCATTGTCGAAAGGAAACCTGGGCCGATATCCATTGGGGAAAATTAGATCCAAACAGTCCCGAGGGCAGCGCCCCCACATCAACTGAAATGAAAATTAGACCAGTGGATTTTTTTCAAAACTCTCTGACAGGAAAGTGTTCTTGTAAATAGTGATTTCTGCGTCCTTTGATCGGTCGACTTCGCTTTATTACAATTGTGATTGGCAGATTAATGATCGAGTGGCCTTCCTTGAATTTGAATGAATTCCACCGGGGAAACACCATCGTTAAGCTGCTTCCCTCGCGACCAGGCATCAAGTGCAGTTATTTGCATGCATGGTGATGTTGATTCTTTTTTACGTACCTATCATTGTTGATTTGAAATTAATTACTTCGCTTGCTGTCGAAATTAAACCAAAATATCTCTGATTTCAGTTTTTGAATATCTGACAAAGAAATAAATCCGGACCAATTGATGCTGTTTTGAAACGTTAAGAAGTAATTTGCACGACAAGAAATAAAACGTGTATTATTTTCAACGCCTTTTAATTCTAGATTTTAAAATGCTAAGAATTCGCAGATTAGAAGAAATGATCAAATTATACACTCGATGATATATAGTTGATCAAATGCGATTTTAGAAAATAATCTTTTCATCACATCGAAATTAATTCAGAAGAATTTATATCTATGGAACGTTCTAAGCTACTAGCTGCAGTTCCTAAATGTTTTCACTTATTTCTACAGTTTTTACGCTTTCTGATATTTTATAAAGCTTCACTATCTTAGGGCTATCAATCAAGCGATTTAAGATTATCTCAAAATATGTAACTTAGGATATGCAAGTTTTACCGTGTGAAGAAATAAAGACTGTGGTACATCATTTATGCACTTACGTCAATAGCTATGCGATAACGTTGTCATTCGAAAACCTATCATGCTCGAGGGTTTTCAAGCCTACAATGGTTATTCATTTTCATGTTTGCTAGTGAAGCTTCTTACGCACGATAAACAAGCATTTAAGACTGTAAAGGTATAGAGGTGTAAGTTGGGAACCTAATTTTATCACGAATTGGGAAAGAACTTCGCAAGTACTTTATTTTGCATCTCTTGATGATACAAAAAAACTAACCAAATCAAAACATAACAAAAGAAAAAGCATATGTGTCCCAAACTAGGATATCATAGATACGAACAGAAAACGCTATTTGTACTCTCTTACAAATTGAAAAGAAAAAAAAAGTTTAAGTCTGCTGTGCTAAAAATCTGTCCGGTCCGTATTGTATATTACAAGGATAGAATGTGGCAGACAAAATCCAAGTAATCACATGCGTTGAATAGTGCATAGTGTTAAACGAACTCGACAAGAATTTCTGACTATGATGCTGACAGATACAAAATCAGTTAAACTGAACCGCGTGCTATAAGCGTAGTAGTAAATCGTATCATGTCAACCGTATGCCAGTTCGAACTGAAATACAAAAACCAAAATAGAAGCTAACGTAAATAACATATCGAAGTTAAGATAATGCAAATGAAGGAACTGTCATCGCTAACATTGCAATAACGACCGTAACATGGAAGTGTCAAATATAATCGGCACCTTTATTGAACGTGAGGAAGGCAAGAAAACGGTTAATAAGCTACACGTTGTTTAACTCGGACGATACCCTTATGTTTAATAACCTTATATTATATTGGAGATATGGACCTAATCATGCACGATTCCGAGCGTACAAAGAAAAAAATAACTAAGCTATCTAGTAACGATATAGGCCATTTGATAGGCGATAAAGTGAGACTTAACTGAAACGAATAACAATAGAAAAAGCCCAGGAATTAAGCCCGAAAACAAGGAATCGATTACTTACTTGGTTTGCACACGCACTGAATTTGACTTGCTAGAATAGATGAATAACAGTGTAGAGAGGATCAATGGCCCAATGTCGAGTAGAAGTTGGCGAAGTAGAATCTACACTTGAACTGAACTAACCGGGTAAAACCTCGTCAATGTGTCTAATTAAAGAACACACTCGCCAAGCCTGTTCTCGTGAAAATATCTAATCAAAGAACACGCAAGCCAAACCTGGCGACAATAACAATTTCCTATAACCAAAATAGCAGCAGAGGGTTGGTCAACCACGGCAGATTGAATAAGTAAGTAGGAACGTGCACGAAAGTGACAATTACTTGATAACATCTACGGTATAGTAAGTTCCTGCGACAAGAACTGAGTTAATATCACATTACAAAACCAACAGTATAAGTATATCTATCATTTTGATGATTTCTTTTTTTGAGAAAAACTGAATTTAAAGATGAGTTTTTACAAGTATATCTTTTCTTCAGAAGTCAGGGTAATTCAAGTAAGATACAGTGAACGGTAGACCACGAACTAAGCAATATTAGCAAATGATCTCTTTAGCATTTTCCAATTATTGCTTGACCGTGATTCTCACAGCCTCTCGAGAGCAAAAGACTTAACTGGGACTTTTTCATAAATTTTTCTTAGATTTTCAAGGAATTCTCTGTATGTTTGGTGCGTAACTGCCTCAGGCAAGGATTTGGTGGCCACGAGAGAAAGCCTAGGAGAGAAAGCCAACTGTGAAGGCGCTTTCTCGTTTTGACAAATTGAAATATAACCTGTTTTGATAGATTTGCAACAATGATAATAGAACCGGCGTCAAAAGTCTCGCTTGATATGATTTAAAGCAGAAATTTACATCTACTTTTACGGAGACCTTTCAAGAAGTAAATTTAACCTCTTCGGACGAGATAAATGCCAATAAAAGACTTTTAAAAACGGCCAGAGTGGTCAAAATAGCTTGATTTTCAAAATCCAAGTTTAAAAGTAATTAAACATCCAGCTTTGAATCAAAACAGTACAATCCGATGGTTTGGTTTGTTTCTTTTGCCGTCGTCTACGATAAGCTTGTTGGCGTCTTACACTCAAAACTTCCTTTCAGAGTTTAAAACTCTTCCCCTGGATGCTATTTACGTTTGACGTAAGGCGATTAACCATGACAGATTCCGTGAAAGTTTGCACGAACTCTGTGCAAGACCACTCAAAAGGATAGGATGGTCATAGCACGTACATTATTCGTGCAACTGACGAAAGGAAATCTGTCATTTTTGGGCCATATTTGCTATGCAGCCAAACGCTGGTCTCTCCCAACATCCGGCTTCTTAGCTTGAATCTTAGTACCGAGTTTGAATTCCGTCGAGTTCTCTCATCGTAGTCCACGTGCAAGAATCATTTCTTAATTAGCAAATAGTTGTTCGAGGATTTACAATGAGTGGCAATCGCCGAGGAATAGGTATGTAACATATGATGCATATAAACTTAGGTAAAAAGGGGAGCTTAGAACTAATGCTTACTTTTTCAAACGTAAACATTTGCGTAGTACATAGAATGACCTCCTTTTACAAAGGTTTAGTTTCAAGTTGGCTGCCCTGGAAATGCTTGCCAATGTCGAGTCAATGGCACGGTGGACGGCTACGTTTAGTTTTTGACAATATCTCCCTAACAAGTTAGAATTATGCCTGAGCTTTTGGCTGGTTTATCGTCGTTCGTGCCAAAATTCGTCTTTTCCAAGAATTGAAAACGAATTTGTCCACACTCGGTGGAAACAACTTAAACATCTATTTATTTCGTATTCGGCTCTTAGATAGACCCTAATGTGAGATAGACTATTGCATTCTTTGTTTGCCTCAGAATCGATGCATTTTTAAGGAGATAGGTATCAAAGGAATATGGGAGCAAAGTTTCGAGCAACTTTTGTAGCTTCGTACAACAAACAGAAACATCCTTGGCCATTAAGTATAAAACCTAAAGAATCGTTATAAACAAGAAGAACGAAGTGTCTTGGGCAGTTTGAACAGCTTTCGTGGGATCTTTTACTTTAAGTGCAACTGAAAATAAGCACAAACAGGGCTTTTAGCACAAAATGGCATTTTTATGAGTAGGGGATATACTATATTAAATGGTCGACAATCAACATAATTCGATTCCCTCGGACTGACTCCACGGATGAACTACCCCCTAGCCAAAGTACCTGCTCAAAAGGGGATCTACAAAATTGTTGTATTTTTATCTTGTTTTCCTCGTAGTTTAAGTTTTTCAGTCTATTGATATCGAAAAGATATTCGCTCTCACTTTATCAAAGCTGATTTATAATCGAGTAAAAAAGGCATAAGGTTTCCTTAAAAAAAATCAACGGAGTACATCTCTTTAAAGCCAAAGAGTATGGGCGGCCGTCACCACCAAAAATACAAGGATGTCAAATAGATCAGCAAATACAAAGATGGTGTAAGGATCAGCTGCAGGATAGCATAGCTAATAAAGGAATGGCATGGCCAAATTATAGACAGTCTAGTTTTCCTTCGTGAAATAGAACACCCTAAACATGAATAGTTTAGCCAAATGAGAAACGGTCTAGTAGCCCATGTTGAGTTGGAACATGAGATTGTGAAATGGACTAGCTCAATTACGAATAGCTTAGCGCTCATTTGCAATAGAGTACTCAAACGGTGTAGCGTTGAGTTAAACGGCTCAGGGTAACATCGAGTAGCACAGCGTACGCACAAACGGTGTAGCGTTGCGTCAAATGGCTCAGCGTAATTTAGAATGGTACAGTGTACACACATATGGTGTAGCGCTGCGGGAAATAGCTCTGCGTAATGTCGAATGGTACAGCGTACATAAAAACAGTGTAGCGTTGTGTGAAATGGCTCAGCGTAATGTCGAATGGTACAGCGTACATACAAACAGTGTAGCGTTGCGTGAAATGGCTTAGCGTAATGTCGAATGGTACAGCGTACATACAAACAGAGTAGCGTTGCGTGAAGTGGCTTAGCATAATGTCGAATGGCACAGCGTACACACAAATGGTGTAGAGTTGCGTGAAATAGCTCAGCGTAATGTAGAATGGTACAGCGTAGACACAAATAGTGTAGCGCTAGGGTTAATAGCTTTGCAAAACGTCAAACGCTCTATCTGAACATTAAATTACTTAGTATTACTTGAAATATTTCGATGTTGTGGCGAATCGTCGTGGCGTGACGTGAAGGCTATGACATTCCTTTATTAGCTATGCTATCCTGCAGCTGATCCTTGAGCCATCTTTGTATTTGCTGATCTATACGACATCCTTGTATTTTTGGTGGTGACGG